CTCAGTTACCTGACAGGAAAGGATGAGTTACTCAGTTACCTGACAGGAAAGGACGAGTTACTCAGTTACCTGAGAATAAACAACAAATTATTCAGTTACCTTAGAATAAACAACAAATTATTCAGTTACCTGACAGGAAAGGACGAGTTACTCAGTTACCTGAGAGGAAAGGTCGAGTTACTCAGTTACCTGACAGGAAAGGATGAGTTAATCAGTTACCTGAGAATAAACAACAAATTATTCAGTTACCTTAGAATAAACAACAAATTATTCAGTTACCTGACAGGAAAGGACGAGTTACTCAGTTACCTGAGAGGAAAGGACGAGTTACTCAGTTACCTGACAGGAAAGGATGAGTTACTCAGTTACCTGAGAGGAAAGGACGAGTTACTCAGTTACCTGAGAGGAAAGAACGAGTTACTCAGTTACCTGACAGGAAAGAACGAGTTACTCAGTTACCTGAGAGGAAAGAACAAGTTACTCAGTTACCTGACAGGAAAGAACGAGTTACTCAGTTACCTGAGAGGAAAGGACGAGTTACTCAGTTACCTGAGAAACAAACGACAAATTACTCAGTTACCTGAGAGAAACAACGACAAATTACTCAGTTACCTGGGAAACAAACAACAAATGACCTGAGAGAAACGACAAATTACTCAGTTACCTGAGATACAACGACAACTTACTAGTTACCTGAGAACAAACAACAAATTACCTGAGAGAAACAACAAATAGCTCAGTCACCTGCGACAACAGTGAGTTGATTTGCTACCCGAGTCGAGGAACAATTGTTGCACTGATACAGTACCAGAACGTGGCACCATTACTGATGAATACACAGTCAGGGTAGGCAGGCACGCATACGGACAATGACACAAACAAGCAGACAGAGCAACACAGATAGAGACACTTGTAATGTCTGTAGTAATTATAATGAATAAATAATAAATAATTAATAAAATTTATATTAAATTTTTAATTATATATAAATATTTTATTATTATTATTTAAATTATAACGTAAAAATGCATACGAAGACATGAATTACAACATGACTGGCACCGACAATTCATCGAGCGGCATTCGCCGCACGCCTTCGTAAACTCGTCGTTTTTCTCGGCTCACACTCTTCTGCAAGCACCCTGAGGTGGCGCCTACGAGGCGCGACGCGGTTCCTGGAAGCAACTTGTCAGGAGATAGGACGGCAGCGTGAGTGGTGTGCAGGATGGCGGGCGCGACGCTCGTCTTCTGAAGAGATCTGAGCACACGCCGCCTAGCAACGAGCTTGGGAAGATGGACAAAGGTGAGTCGGCGGTAGGGTAGCGGTGAGTGGCGGGGGGGTGGCACCTGGCGACGAGCGGCGATTGAACGCTGCGCCACTAGCGCACAATCTGTTGTGCACACTTGCACCTCGGGGTGGATGCCGAGCCAGCCGTTTATCAAAATTTCAGTAGAGATGCGATGGATGTAAACACATTAGCACACAGGACAAGAGATTTGTAGCTAGGAGCCACGTGAGTGGAGAGCCGGGGAGCAGGGTGAGCGGGGGGAGCATGAGAGAGAGAAAGAGAAGAGAGAAAGAGGGCAGAGACCGCCGGGAGGAGGAAGGGGAGAGGAGAGAGAGAGAGGGGGAGCGGGGGGCCTATGAGGAGAGAGAAAGAGAACGAGGAAGAGGGCCAGAGTGAGAGGGAGGGAGGGAGGGAGAGAGAGGAGGAGAGAGAGGTGGTGTAGCGTGCGGGGAGCCATGAGAGAGCGCGGGAAGAGAAAGAGAGAGAGAGAGAGAGAGGACGGGAGGAGAAAGGGAGAGAGAGAGAGACTGAGATATGGTGAGAGAGAGAGAGAAGCAGAGGAAGAGAGGAGATGAGAGAGAGAGAGAGATCAGAGACACAGGAGACGATGAGAGGAGAGAGAGAGAGAGAGAGAGAGAGATGAGAGAGAGACGACGATGAGAAGAGGATGAGACGATGAGAGAGAGACTGAGCTGGAGAGATAATGAGACGTGTTCTCGTTTACGATTATCGCCTATGACCGGATCGGACGAGATGAGAGAGGAGGAAGAGTGAGAGACGAGAGACGAGAGAGAGAGAGGAGAGAGAGAGAGGAAGCGAGCAAGTCAATGAGAGAGGGAGAAAGAGGGGGAAGGGAGAGGGAGAAGGGAATGGAGTCACACAAAACTACCACGAAATACAATCATGGCGTCACGTACTTATATTTACTTGCTAAATTTTACACAACACCCACACGGTTAGCTACACTGAACAGCCAGTGCGTGCTGTAATGTTACATTACAGAGGCGTGCTCAACAGAGCGAACTCGCTCGTCCCTGCACGAACGCCGCGGCCTCTTGAACGACACACGAGCGCTCGCCTGCTATTGCGCTCGCTGTGTATCCCAAGATGGCAGCCCCATTGGAGAGGTTATCAGCCAGGATTCTAATCGCGAGATTTTAATGTCTTCGAACAAGTATAGCTGTTACAACGAATTAGCAGCACGAAATTTTGATCGGAATTGATATTTAGAAGTAAATAAATTGGAGTTACTGAAACAATGAAATGAAGTTGAAATAGATAGCAAATTGAAGTTTAGAAATGTTACGATTCGCATTCGCCAGATTGTGCTCCTCGTCGCCTCTTGAGACATCGCTGCGTCTTTGGGTCCCACGCGCTTCCTCCTTCCGTGTGAGTGACAGCCCTGGAGCTTGCGATGCACGCCTCGTTCAGTTGCTCGTTCAGAAGGCGAACCGCTCTGGCGAGCTATCTGTCGCCTTCCCTCGACATGCTCAGTTGTACTACAGTAAAAACCCGGTATAAGGACACATAGATTTTTCAAGTGTTGTAGCCTCAAAGAATGTTTCTTTAATATCAAATGGACAGGGGGGGGGAGTGCTTACTTGAAAAATTTAGAGGCTCAAAAGGTTCTTTAAATAGGTTTCTTGAATTGTTGTCTACTTTTTAATATGTACTACTACTAGCCTGAAACCCGCCGCTTTACGCGCGGAC